CTAATGTAGATTTTAAAAATATTTTGAACAGTGTGTGTTAGAATAATCACTGTTCCAGTAGAATTTTTTTCAAAAGCACCACCAAGGTGCAAGAAAAACATTATTTAGGGAAAAAAAATCCTTTGTTTTTTTAGTCGGATTTTGAGAGCCCTAAATGGCTTGCCTCTCCCCCCCCCCCCCGAACTAGGGGTCTGGTGGTAGTTCCGCCCTTGGGTGGACCTTGAATTAAAGTAGTGTAGACGCATATATACTGCAAGTAAAGAGCAATAAGGTGCCATAGACTAGACCCTAGCTATACTAGAGGTATAGAGCAGGGATGTGATAACGTGATTAGCAAGATGCCATAGACTAGAACATAGACTAACTAGAGCATAGAGTAGGGATTTGATGACGTGACTACCTTCACGAGCCTTGTTGAGGATTTCTTGGACTGACGTCACGATCTCACCAGCCGTACGGACGTAGTAGGTGATGGGCAGGGTCTCGTTCTGGTCCTGGAAGTCCTGTAGGACATTAGAATTAACTCAACAGTTTGCTGTTTTTTATTTCTTAATGAAGAAATAATTAATTAAGGGGACGGCCTGGTCGAATGGTAGAGCATTCGGCTACTAGCCCGAAAGTCGCGAGTTCGAATCTCGGTTCGGAATCGGTACTTCAGGGCGTCCTTGAGTCCACTCAGCTATGATGGGTACCTATCTCGTGTTGGGGAAGCAAAGGCGGCTGGATATAATGGTAACCACATTATTCCTTTTATATGCCAAGGTCAAGAAACATATTGACTCTACTTCATCTACCTTATCTTTAGGTCTAAAAGGGAAGCTTGACTCTTTACTTTTTTTTTTTTACAGTCCTACAACGATTAGTCTAAGGTCCGAACCCTAATAGATCGAAACTGCTACGTATGTCATCAACAGTACAGAAAACGTTTAAAAAGTTTAATCATTGTCCAAAATTTATTGTTCAGTATTATTACTGGATTTTCAGACGGTTTAGTTAAATAAAAAACAAAACGAAATCGATCTTGGCTCTAACTTACTTGAGCAAAAGCGCCAGCGAACGTACAGACACACACGACCAACAACTCTCTCAGCATTTTCAGAAAAATTCTAGCAGCGTTATCGCCCTTGATCTTATGAACCGTAAAATACCCCTAGATGCAAGTTGAATCTATTTATAATCCCGGGATTCCCATCTCCTTCTAAACATGTTACTGTTTGTCTCATTAGATTTTTTTTTGTTTGGTCATTTACAATCAACAAACAGTTATTGTTTTTGTGTACATACAATTAATTGGTTATTTTGTTCCCTGAATTTTCCTGTCTTACGCCGTTAAAGCTAAGTCTACACCGCACATTCATGTTTAAGCTGTTATGTTTAACTGTTGTCACTGTGTTTTTTCTGATCTGGTCAGCTGGCGTTAGGTGGATCGAAGACGTCAATGTTTTTGTTAAACGAGTCTTTCCTTTCATTTCGTTCAGTGGAAGTATACATGCCAAATCTTAAACAATTAATGTATGTAAACAAAGCGACTGAGCGGTCGAAGTGTAGAGCATTCGACTCCTAACCCAAAAGTCTCGAGTTCGGATTCCATGCTCGAAACCGTAAGACGTCCCCGAGTCCACCCAGCTCTAATGCGTACCTGACTCTCATTAGGGAAAGTAAAGGTGGCTGGGCATGATGTACACAGACTACACTATACCTTCATATGCTGGGGTCACTGGAACAAGTGAACTACTTCACCTGCCCCATGGACGGTAAGGTTCTAAGGGTGCTTTACACGTGATAACAAGTAAACCTGGACCAAGGGACAAAAGGGCTCAACAAAAAAGTAACTAACGAACGTATTACGACAATAGGGTTCCTTTAAAGACCCCAATAAAATGGAACCTGAAAACAGGGTCACGACAATATGGTCCTGATAAAAAAGGCACGCAATAATACGGCTATCGATAAATTTTCCCATGAAGTATTATCTCACGATAAAATTAAACCACGTAGTGGCTCCTGACTAAGAGCCCCCCCCCCCCACCTTACAATGTGGCATCCGACAGTATGGATCCTGATACCTCTTATAAGTCCAGGGTATACGTGTATGACAGTTTACATTACACAATGAGATTGTTAGGTAAGAGTTGAAAGTATTTTGAGAATTTAAAGAATAAGTGGAGCTAATCATTTTGAAGGGAGCTTATGACTGCGATCTAAACCTAGTTAGATTTCCTTGAGACATTTTATCACGACCCTTCTTGAGGGGCGACTTTTCTCGGGAACCATATTCACGGCGCCCTTTTACCCCAGGCATTTTTCGACTCTCGCTCCATTTGACGGGGTCATGTCAAACATTTTGTCACCATCCGTTATGACGTGTCACGAAATTCTACACCTCCAAGTTTGTCGATCGTCTTACGTCATCGGCACCCCGGAGAAAGCCACGCCTCTTTATTATGTAAACACTAATTCAGATGAACCAATACTCGCATTGATTGATTTCCCACGTGTCTTTCGTCATTAATGATCACGTGTGATTTAGATAATTGCAATCAAGCCAGTGATTAACGGGCCTAAGGGTTATAAAAGCTCTCGAGGAATACTTTGATATATTTAGCTTTATTTAAGCCAGACGTTCAGAAGAGGGAGTTGTTTCTCCGTCTCCCAGTTAAAAATGTTCCAAGTTTTGCTGTTCTCCTGTCTCCTAGCAACGGCGTTCTGTGCTGAGGGGGTAAGTGTCAGTCATAAAGCAGGGCTTGTATTTTTACACGCTTTTTATTTAACTTGCTCCTCTGTCGTACTTAGTAGTTTGTGCTTAATGCTTAGTCATCGATCGAAACTCGCAAGCAAAATTTCGACCACTTCTAACTGACCGATTCGTTTCTAACTTTTTATAAACGTTTTAGTAACAAACTTTTGATGTAATAATACACCACGAAGAAGAAAATAAAATGTTTTCTTTAAACATATAATAATGCATCCGTATATAAATAAATAAAAAGAAAAGCGTGGTTCACCGTGTTTTGTATTGAATACATTAACTAAAATTTAAGAAGCGATATGTACTCAACATGTATTTTATGTACAAATTTTTGGCGCTTTTTTTTTGTTTATTTTCTTACATTTATATTTTTCATGACCTTGTGGAAATAACGCCGTTCATATAAATAAGCCAGTTGTAAAAATTTTAGTTTTTTGGTGCTACGAAAACCGTCGAAGGGTGGGTGGGTAACTAGTACTCACCTAAAAGGGGAATAACCCAAATATAAAACTACTACAGGAAGACACCGAATCGGAAATCTCCAAACGCCAGAGCTACTTCGATCCTACCAACAACTACACCTACAGCTTCATCGACATCTACAATGCCGGTCAAAGCTTGCTCAATATGGCCCGTAATGGTACGCCGTGTTATTATTATTATTATTATTATTATTATTATTATTATTATTATTATTATTATTATTATTATTATTATTATTATTATTATTATTATTTATTATTTATTATTTATTTTTTATATTTTTTTTATTCACAAGGTTTTCTTACCTCTATTATTTGTTTTCTATATTTTCACATGTGGTTGGTAATAGGGCTGGTAAGTAGGTCACCAACCAGTTCTATGGCTCATGCAGGTTTTATTGAGCCGTAGAACTGGTTTATCACCTACTTACCAGCCCTATTTGAGTGGTGCAGCATGGTCGCTTTCTCTTTTAGCGAAGATTTCATATAGGGCAGCGGCTATGACGTCACTAACCTCTCTCTCCAGGTATTTTTGGTGTAGATCTGGCGCACGCGGCGGCTGATTTAAGCGCCCTCTTTAAAGGATTCCAGCAGGCAAACTATGGCAACGGTAACTTTTCACGTCACTTCATTGCAGCTATCCTATATATATATATATATATATATATATATATATATATATATATATATATATATATATATATATATATATATATATATATATGGGTTGGTGCGTCGGTGCGTGTATGGGGTTTTACTGAGGACGTAAATGATGCCAACATTGGGTTTTATATCAAAACAGCTATGGAAATAAGAAAATAAAACTGAAATGGAATCTCAAAGTTTATGCAAACATAACAGATATTTTGCACTCACAAAAAATACACACACCCGCACACACACACACATGTATGCGTATGTATTCATCATTTTAAAAATACTGCCATATATCTTTAGTCACGGGGTCGGAGGTCAAGTCAGCCATTAAAGAAGTGATGTACAACATCGGATACGGGGGAATCTCTCTGTACTTTGATGGTACGTTGTTTACTTGTTTTCTTTTTACCGACACACTTCACAGTGTTAATCGTGGGATGGCCCCTTTAGTCCTGGTAGCTCCAAGATCTTAATGCCGATGGAAAATTACTTTTAATAGAGAATCCTCTGTAGACTTAGAGATCCATTGAACAGATGAAGTAGATTTCAAATGTGTTTTGACTTCGGCATATGAAGGGATTGTGTGGTCTGAACTTTGCTCAGCCGTCTTTACCCATCAGAGCTGTGTGGATTCAGGGACGTTCTAATGACAAGGATTCGAACTTCAAGCTTAAGACTTTCGGGTTAGTGCTCTGTCGTTTAGGCCACGCCATCCCTGGCTGAATTACATTAGTTCTAACTAATGTTTTCTAACACAAAAATACCCCTGGATAGCTCAAAATAAAATAGTAATACTGTTCTAACATCTTTATTTATATTACAAAATAAAATAGAACTTGTATTCACAAACCCCCAGATATAATATAAAATACAAACAAAGACAAAATTATTGTTTTAATCAAATGCAAGTACAAAGTTTAAAAATGCGCTTGTTCTAACTTTCACAGATGATATGAATAGAGATGCTGGCCTGCTGCACTATCTATTGACTATGCTGGATCAAGAATTAAGTTATGCCTACAACTACAATTACAACAACAACTGGTGTAATTATTTTCATTTATTTTACTACAGCCATATGCATAATGTTAGTAAAGATATTCCCGTCATATTTGTAGTACATTCGCATTATATATAAATCAAGTTAGCTGACCTACTGCTGCATAGGATTATGCCCCTTATAGCATTGGAAGGAATCTATCTATCTATATATATAATTCTCTTCTGGGAGACGTTAGAAAACAAGCTGCAAGCGCGCGCCTCTCTTCCTCTCTATCGCTACCACCCCCTCCCCTCCCCACCCCCCTCACATGGTCAGGTGAGTTGTAGTTCACGCTAAATGTTTACAAAACAATCGTAGAGCCGGGTTTGGTGACGGCTATTAGGGGCAGATAATTTAGTTTGAAACTATTTTAAACTTAGAGGAGGTAACTAAGAGGAGGCTGCTTTCACGGGGGGGGGGGGGGGGGTTAGTGTTTTAAAGCAAATATTTTCAGTGGCAACATTGGTACTGTCGAATTCACAAATTATGAATAACTGAAAAGTAGAAAAAAACAACTAAATAGCGGCGTATGATACACCGCGGGTCGGCTCGTATATATAATTCTCTTCTGGGAGACGCTAGAAAACAAGCTGTAAGCGCGCTCCATACCACCCCACGCCTACATGGTCTGGTGAGCTGTGGTTCACTCTAAATGTTTACAAGCAGAGCCGGGTTTAGTGACGACTATTAGGGGTAGATAATTTAGTTTGAAACGATTTTAAACGTAGGGAGGGGGGAGTAACTAAGTGGAGTTTACTGTAACGGAGGGGGGGGGGGGGGAGGAGAGGGGGGTATCGTCCTTAACGAGCTATTTATAGTGTTTTAAAGAAATATATTTTCAGTGGCAGCGTTGGTACTGTCGAATTCACAAATTATGAATTACTGAAAAGTAGAAAAAAAAACAACAACTAAATAGCGGCGTATGATATGCCGCGGGTCGGCTCGTAATGAATAAAAGAATAAAATTAATAATTTTGAGGGTGGTTCGTAAAAGATGCAGACTAAATTGAGAATATTAGGTTAGGGAGCGTTGTTATATGGAGTCTTTAAACCTGGTTATTTTGACAGTATCTTTTTGTCGGGGTCATTTTGCCGTAGCCTTTTTTTTTTTGTCCACCAATTTTAGTCCCTTTTAATTAGTTAAAAAAATCTTATCTTGAAAATGACACCAATTGTGGGTGATACGATTCGGCTAAAATAGTTAACCTAATAAAAAATAGATATATTCTAGTTAAAAAAAGAACGAAACAATATTTACAATGATGAATAATCCTTTAGGCCTGTGTTTTTATCCAACTTTTTAAAGAACAGCAACAAAATCATTATAAACTGGAAATAATAAATTTCATGGTATCTTAAAAACAGATGTTACATTTTAAATGCTAGATATTTAAGATGTAAATTAAATACATTAAACATTTTAGGTTGTTGTCTGATTTGAATTCTCTCTCTCTATTCTTAAAGATTATTATACTATTCCATTGAAGCCAAGGCTAGGGGCAATGTGTCTCATTCTCGACACCATTCAGAGCACAGCTGTACACGTTGGTATGTTACGTTAATTTTCATTGGACGATTGGCATCACGTGATTTCTATAATTAGAAATTTTATTTTTTACTGATGGTACAAAGGGTTAGAACTCTTTACGTTTTATCCGGATTTAAAAAGGAGAGTTGACCCTAGAATAAAAAGTGGCAATAGAGACGAACAAGAAATATAAATCTACATAAAGACGAATAATCGTTTAAAAAATGGAGGTAAGCCATGTATAAAGGGGGATAACCGATGACTTAAGGGATATAGCACAAGTACTAATCGGTAATAATTCAACATATTTTTTTAAAGCGCAATTACCATACTGGAATTGCGATTATTAATTCGTTATTTCTGGATGTGTGTCCGCAGCTTTACCGCAGCTTTAAGTCGTATCTCCTCCTCAACGAAGCAATATCGAGGACTAATCTACCCCCTCCTCTCTCCACCTCTATCCACTTTACCCTCAGACATGATAACCCCACAATCCCTTTAACTGTTCCAACGACCCCACCACCCACCGCAACATCAATATCCAGAACTTATTTTAAGTTCTAAATCTTGTCTCTTTCCCCTCATCTTTCACACTGCAACCTTTTGAAAACTCATTGCGACCACTACAACACCCTTTCAACTAGTCAACTTAAGTTGTTTCCCTACATAGAAAATGCTTCACTGTCCCATTGACCCTCTCTGAAAAATTTCCTTTCCTCTCCCCACCCAGACTTCTGACACTTTCATTTGACCTTCACCCCTTTTACTGTCATCCTTTGCAATTTTTTTATAATCAAATACATGACATCATGTAAATATTCATTATGTACATTTGCAAAACCTTTCGTTTTCATTTGGTGTTCAAAATTATGTTAAAAAATTTGATGTTGATGTACTTGTTTTAATTGCAAATAAAAGTATTAAAAAAAAAAAAGAGGACTAGTTCGAAAAGCAAATATGTTAAGCAAGTTCCGAGGATGATTGTGGGCCAAAAAAATTCCCGGAATTCCTTCATGGATTTCCCGGAAAAGCCAAAAAACCTCGAAAAAATGCTGTTTTTGGCCCATAACTCGGCAACCAGACCACTTAACGACTTGAAACATTTACCAATCGATTCCTGCTATAATTTAGAGCAATATTGCCGAAGAAAGTTTTCAAAAATATCCTTTCGTTCGGTCACAATTTTTTTAAAAATTACATTATACATAATACACTACAGTACGATATAACAATATAGAGAGCGCGAGAACTAAATACCCCTACACGTCCGCAAATTTTTAAAAATCTCGTTAATAAATATTTTTTCTATTTTGTTTTGAATTATTAAAACTACTTGTGTTGCATTATTTATTTGCTGAATATATGATTTATCTCGATTTAAAATTGTTATGGATAACATAAGGAAATAGCGCTTAAATTGTCACTAGACTTTTTATTAACTTGTTTTTACTATTCTTGTATTGAACTATAAAACTAAATACGCCCGCTAGAGATAGTAAACTATTCATGTCCTAATCTAAAATGTCCTTACTGTTCATGTCCTAATCTAAAATGTCCTTGCTGTATTGACAGTTGGAGGCCTGTCCTACGTCTCCTATGATGAAGATGGCATCTTTTCACGCAAGAGAAGTGAGGTAAATAAACCAGTCAAAAACATTGTAAAAACTAGCTGTGCAACCCGTCACAATACGGATTCAGAAAATTTACTGTTTTGTGTAGTCAAAGTGGATGTAAGGCATTTAGGCAAATAAATATTTAACCATGTCTACGTTCTTAATATTAAAAAGAAAACACAAATCAACAAATGATGAAATTTGGACTACTCAAATTTAATCTGTATCATGAAAATATCAATTTAATATTTTAAGACAGAGAAATACAAAAAATATTTTCTTAAAGCAAAAAATACTAATATTTAAAAGCATTTATAAATACACTGATAACAAATAGTTTTTCGATAAATTTTTTTGTCCAAACTCAACTAAAGACGACTTAAAATATAACATAACACTTGTGTTGATTGAAGCTAACTTTTAATGTTTCTCGCGTTTTTTTTTTCCAGGATGAGGAAGAGACTACTGCACCAGAAACCAGTAAGTTACTGTTTTTACAGACTATACCAAATAGTTCAAGACACTTTATCATGTCTAGGCAGTTAACTGTCATCATCAACTGGCACTTGTGTAACCTTAAACAAGCGAGTGATACTGGGCAAAAAGAAACAGAAAAATCTCCAAATATCCTGACGTATAGGGCTACAGACAAAAAATATTCTTACCTATTGTCTTAATCTAACTTAGTTATACTCTTAACCCATGCATTCACTTATCCTAAAATTAGTCATTTTCCTAACCTACCATTTGAAAAAAAAATTAGTTTAAGTGTTACCCACACCCCATGGAAAAGAAATGAATTTGAAAAAAAAATCAAATTTTTTTATAGTGAAAACCTAATCCTAATTTTGTTTCACTCTTAGCCTAACTTAAACCCTAACCCCTTAACTCATATTAATCTTAGCCTAACTTAAACCCTAACTCCTTTACCCACAGGAGACCTGCCGACAGGTTTGAGTGGTCGAGGCAGGTGGACGTCAGGTAACCTAAAGAAGTTCATGTGGCAGTATAACAGGTACTCTGATAACTATATGTGAGGATCAGCTTAACTCAGTACCCAGCCACGCGTGTACCACAACGGAGAAACATCAAGTCTTATCTGTTTCTTTAGCAAAATAAAGACAGAGTAATACAAAAAATGAGTATTGTGTTAAGTATTTTAAAATATAACACAAAGTTTAAATTCAAGATTTATAATGGTAAAGATTTCCAAAGCGACAAAAACAATGGAGTTTCAATGCATGAACAAATATCCAAACTCTAACAAAATTAACTGGCGTGGGCCCCATGCCTGCTGCCAAGTGCTCCCACGCAGAAATTCCGCACTGGCCCCTGGATATCACAAGTTAACAAAATAAACAACATTACGTTTGCCTGCCGCACCTTGGTGTTACACAGTACAATAATCTAAGAGCATTTACAAAAATATCCCAAGTAAACAAACATCAAAAATTGTGTATTCTGTTTTAAGATGAGTTCAGTTACACTCGCGTGCTCTGCCAAAATCTTGACATCCGGCAGATGTGCACTAGTTTTTCAAATATTTAAAGCTTTAAAAAATGCATAGACAAATTTGTATAACATTTTTTATGTAATGATGCACTAACAAGGAGAAAATAAATAATTGTCTTTAAATATATAATAAGGAAATTCTATTTAAAAACTAAAAAGAAAAGCTAGGTCGCTATATGTATTAAATACCTTTACTAGAATTTAAGAAGCAACACACACTTTAAAAAAAAGTATTTAATGACTATATATTTAAAGAAAGTCATTCATATTCTTCTTAAAGTTCATTACTACATAAAAGCTTGTTATTAAAACGTTTTTTACGCATTTTTCAGTACTTTACAATTTTTAAACAATAGAGTTGCTTGACTTATAATAATTATTGAACACGAACAATATGCATATGACTGCGCGGTAAATACTACTTTATGTAGGAAATTTAAATTAATTCATAAAAAAAAAATTAAGCATCCAATTAAGTCAAATTTGATGTCCGATTGTATTCTGATCGGGTGTTGACCCAAGTGCCGAGTTTCAGAGAAATTGGTCTGTCAGAAGTGGTCGAAACTTCGCTCGCCCGTTTCGACCCATAAGACAAAAGCACAATAGACTGAGGAAGCGTTAAATAAAAGCTTGTAATAAATGATGTTCTTTACATGTTTTATAAGGCACTACTATTTAAATAACAAGAGAAGAGCGAATCGCTGTATAATATATTGGATACCTTTACTAAAATTTAAGAGCTACCCACGCTTTTCTTTATAGTTATTTAGGTAGTAGTACAATGTTATACATTTAAATAAATTTTATAAATTATTTTCTCCTTTTTAGTGCATACCTACTCACATTATAAAAGCGTGTTATAAAATGTGTGTGTAGTATATTTTTTAAAAGTGTAAACATTTAGTTACACAATTCCATAACAAAGATTGTGGCCTTACAAGTAAAAGCTTGTAAAAAAATGGTATAATATCACAGTTTTGAAAATATAGAATCCAAAATATCACAGTTTTTAATATACAAAAGTCCAAATATCAAAGTTTTGAAAATATAAAAATTCAAAACATCACAGGTTTGAAAATCCAAAATCTTACTGTTTTGATAAAAAAAAAAATGTTAACATTTCTTGGTTTAAATAAAGGTACTAAAAACATTCAATAATTGAAGCGTAAAAGTTGATCAACGCTTCCCCAAGGCGCTACAGTTGATCTCTTTATTTTCACTCTTGCTATGGACATGCTGGTAGAACATGCGTTCTCGGCCTTTGGTGTAGACGTAGGCGCCGCTACTGCCGCGGCACGTAGGCGCGGTGTACTTGAAGTAACACAACAGCTTCTTCTCAGGGACCTTGACTTACTCTGTCCACTCACCCACAGACACCTGCTTGTAGCAGCCGTGTGGGTGGGACACGATGACCACTATGCGATCCCCCACATCCGGGTTTTCGTTGACCTTGTCATGGAGAACATAAAACTGTTTCAAGGCCGTCTCTAGCTTCTCCAACAGCTCTAAGCTACATGTAGCCCAGCGCACGACACTCCAATCATGTCGTGAAGTCGTATCTTCAATTATCCCCTCCCTCAGATCTTTACTTTCAGTGCCCTCATCGTAGTCCAAAACACAAACTGCCGAATTCGCTTCATAGTCATCAAATATAACATGTTTCGCGGTCATAATTAATATTTCCCCACACGCAGGCTTTATAGCACCAGACACTGCGCAGTCTTCGCATTTGCAGGTTCTGTTGGAATGCCTTACCACTTGAAGAACTCTGCCAGTTCCTACACTGTTTCCTAGTAGACCTGCTGTATAAATACTCTCTAGTTCATCGTCCAGTTCTTGCTTAGCTCGAGCCTCGCTGATATTTCTGACAGTAATTTTGACCGTCAAAGCACCCAATACCCGAGTCAAACAATACAAGTCCTTGTTCTTGTCCGGTAAGTTATCGACAGATAACACACTAAGCGCGGTGAAGCCGTTGTGTTCTGGATTTTTTTCACATTTTGCGTTTGTTAAATTACCTCCCTCTGGGGTACCGTATTCAACTTCTACTTCACCTACACCAGAAAAAAACACGCTTTGTTAAAATCGTTAACTATAAAAGTCTGTGTTGGACGGTGTGGCCAAGTGGTAGAGTGAAAGAATGCTGACCCGAAAGTCTCGAGTTCCAATCCGGTTTTAAGTCAGTGGAACGTCCCTGAGTCCACCCAGCTCTGATGGGTACCCAGCTCAGGCTAGAGAAATTAAACATTATCCCTTCATACGCAGAGGTCAAGAAACATATGGGCGCTACTCCATCTACCCAGTGGATCGCTAGGTCTAAAGACGAATATCTACTTTGTTTAGTTTTTAAAAAAAATTAAATTCTGTGCTGTTTTCTTTAGTCCTCATGAACTGTACGAACAAGATATTCTGACCAGGGTTCCGACAACACTCTACCTTCCCCCTTCCCTCCCCGTTGAATCAAACTGAAAGTAACCCTATAACTAGCACACATAACTATTCGCCCTCTACACCAGTCTTTTCGCGACTCTGTATAATCTGGATACAATTTGACCCCACACGACTCCCCCCCCCCCCATTAATTATGACACCCAGATCTCCACATGTCCATATATCTGTCACTCTACATTATTTTTCTTAAACTGACGTTCAAACTTTAAAAAAAAATGGTTAAGCTCTGCACTTGTTTAAAAAACAAAGAATATCTTCCATTTTAAATAACAAAGGCTATGCCGCATGGAAAAGACTCTTCCCCCTTCTTCCCCTTCCCCCCCCCCCCTTCCCTCCCCTCCCGTAGAGCGATTTAGAAGAAAGTTTGGCACACCCGTCTGTGTGCTTTTGACAGCATGCCTGCATTTGCAGACATGTGCTTTTGTGCAGTGTGTGTCACATGCATTGTCAATAAAAATACAAATCGATAGCCAAATCGATAGTTGTTGATCAAGGTCCAGACTATATATAGCATTTGAGAAATATCCTACGTTAGTCATATGTTCTTTGAGTCGTTACCCAATGCAATTTTATGTAAATTACTGACAATTTTCTAAAAATTCATATTTTAATTTAAACTTCGGAAATATTACATATTTATTTTTAATCTAATTAGATACTCCCACATCATTTTAATACACGCATAAAACAAAAGTTATTACCTGGCACATAAGGTCTGGTTGAGTGATTGTTTGGACAACATACCTGCGTCTGTCCACAGAGCCGGCGTTAGGGGGTGGCGAACGGGGCGGTCGCCATAGGCCCCGCGCCTGAAGGGGCCCCGCGCTTCAGCAATGTCATTGTTATCTGAATTAGTTCGTAAACTTTAAAAAAAATTGTTGCTGAATTCAATTGGGAAAAACTAAATGGTCGAATGCCGACGTTGTTGATTGTTATAACTGAAGGGCCACGGTCGATGTTGGTGAGTCCCACCTGAAGTGGGACAGGCCGTAATTCGATACAAAAATAGTGTCACACCTCCCCTTTGTGTAGGGTACGGTCGCCTGGCATTTGACCTGAGCTGACTGGAGATGGCGGTCGAGAATTAGCCCACGACGTAAAGAGATACCCTATTGTATGCGGACCCATGAAGACGTCCTTTTAGTGAGCAGACGGGATGTCTGTAGTAGACAGTTAGTGACCTGATGAACTCTAGTCCTGATTTTTTTGTTGTAGATGTCGTATAATGTCTTATATGTACAGTGTTTCTTCCAGATTTTTTACTCCGGGGGGGGGGGGGGGGGGGAAAGGGGCACGTAAAATTTTCGGGGTGGGGGGGGGGGGTAGATTTTCTTCGGGGGGGGGCGGAAACTGTATATATTTTCTATATAAATTATATAAATTTCATTTCGTTTTCTAGGGGGGGGGGCTTGTCTCCCCCCCCCCCCCCCCGAAGAGATGCCTGGAAGGAACTCTATATGTAGACCGGTATAACAAAATTAACATTCACTTGCGAGCAGAGGAGTGGGAGGAGGGCGACGAGGGGGGGGGGGCGCCTTAGGATCTATATCAGGTGGCATTAAACAGAGTGATTTATTATTTTTTGGAAGAAAGTTAAAACTGTTGTTATGTTGTGTCACCTTAAGGATTCACTCGTTCAATAATTAAGACAATAATGTTTTTGGTTTTAAAATATTGTATGAATTCTAAACAAATTTTGAAGTCTATACTGTTTTGATACATCAGGCCGAGTTCGCTGTATTGTAAACTTTATTTTCCTAATTATTCGGCACGTGATTAAATTTTCTTAAGTGATTTGGTATGAATTACATAACTGTCAAAAGTGATTTAATATCTTAGCAAAGGAAAAAAAAAAACTACGAACATTGGTTAATACATGGAGAGATAAAAATCTGTTATTATAGTGGAAAGTTTGACATTAGCTTATAACTCCAAAACATTTGTGTTATTATGTGTACATCACATTATATAGGCCCTTATACATAATATATATAAAATATATATATATATATATATATATATATATATATATATATATATATATATATATATATATATATATAATGGAAAGGCC